CCCCAAAACCCCAAAACCCCAAAACCCCATTTTACTAAAGAAAAATTGAAATTTTAGTCACTGTAAAGTCAGAATAACCCCACAAAAATTATCAATGAGAGCCATGAATTGTCTAAAAATTACAGACTACACAAAGAACTACTAAAAAACAGAAGAAGCTAAAATTTACGTAAAATTACTCCTGCAATAACTTATTGTCTATTTGGTTAAGGACGTCTTTGATTTTAGAACAAATCTGGTCGTTTTGGGCTTGAGCCGAGGGGGGAAGGGAAGCTGGGTTTGCTTGGAGGGAGAAAGTGTAGGCGCATTCTGAGCCGAGGGGTATCCCGCTGACATTTTCTTGACTCATAACTTTGTCTAGAAGTGATTCCGCTATCTTACCTTTAAGATCGATATCTCCCGATTCAGAGGACATATTGAGCTGAGAGGATGAACTTGGAATAGACTCCTGAGAAGCATAATTCATTAATTTAGTAATTCTTTGTTTCTTCATACGCAACTTTTGAATTTTATCCTGCAATTTAGATCGCTGCTCAAGATGGGCTACAAATTCTTTGATTTTACTATAAGTCAACAGCTAAAACCCTACCTTGCATCCTTATTCTTCAATTTATTTGTATTCTGAACCTCTTGAGGCCTCTTCGCATTCATATATTCATCACTTTGATTCTTCTGAGGTGACTTATCAGGCCCATGATAAATCTTCAACTTAATCCCTGTCTTATGATTCCCTGCTATCAGCACATGCTCTTCCTTCTCCACAACAATCCTATTAACAATCTCCTCTATCCCTCTCTCAGTCCTACATCTCTCTCCCCCAAACTCCCCTTCCTGTATCATCTTCTCAATCTTCTGCATCCTATACACCTTCAGTCCTTTCCTAATCTGCTTCAACTTCTTCAATTCCAATTCTCTACTATCCTCTATCCTCTTAGGCATTCGGGCACCTATACAAAAACCTTCAGATTTTGTTCCTTAAGAATTGGGTAACTTCCATACTTACCTGGTAAGTTTAATAAATTGTATTCAGATTTTGCCTGAAAAAGGGGTTTTGGGGTTTTGGGGTTTTGGGGTTTTGGGGTTTTGGGG